TATATATATATATACATATATGTATATATATATATATACGTATATATATATATATATATATACATATATGTATATATATATATATACGTATATATATATATATATATATACATATATGTATATATATATATATACATATATATGTATATACAGTAGTTGTAGTTTCTGTTTCAAAAAAGTTTGTAATTAAATATTAGTCACAAAGCGGCATCAACTCAGCCTTTACCTGTTGGCTTAGAAGTGTCTACATAAATGCATTTCATTTATGCAGAGAACAATAATAAATCTGATGGGAATGGGTTTTTTTTTTTTTACCAGGTTACATAATTATATTTCAAATAAACAACACTGTTGTACTTCACTTGTTGGCATTCAAACTGCGTTCAAAGCAGCCCCTGCAGAGGACAGAGGCAAAGCTTAATGCGTTTTTTCTCAAATCAGCACGATGCAGTTACTTTGTACTTGGCCTTTAATGAGCACTTTTTATTCAAAAGTATTTGTTGTGCAGTTTTGCTTTGTTGCAATAGCTATAAACACTCTGTGTTATTCTTAATGGCATCCAATCAGATTGCACTGACCTCCTAGCCCAGGGCTTTAGTGAGGCACCCTGCAGATAAGCAGCCAAGTAACCTCATTAAGAGGTAAGTAACAAGACACTAATGTGGACTAACAAGGCTGGATGACTTCAGTCAGACAGTTGTGCCCGTAAGTGGACCAGCTCCCCACAAAATAATGGCGGTGTAGTCAGTGGGATCTGTCTTCTCACTTCAACCTCCCAAGTTTCCAAACAAAGCACCAGAGAGAAGCGTCTAAAGTAAATAAGGCAAGTGCTCAGACTTAGGTGAGGAGCAGCCACACAGAGCCGTGCTCACTAACCAAAGCAAAACCAACACCGAGTGCTTTAGCAGGTCTTTACATTATAAATGACTCGCCTTTACCCCTGTGCACCAAGCCCCTATAGATACACAGCGTGTCATAGCTGGAGTAAGCAGAAGGCCGTCTGTGGAGCCTGCAGCGCTGTCAGCCCACTGATGTACAACACTCTGCCCTTTGTTCGCTGTACACAAACACGCTTTACACATTAATATTTCACAGGAAATGTACTCCGCGCTACTGATTTAAAGCCTTTCCTTGTTAACAATGCTGTTTTCTCTATTCTGTTGCATTGAATTATGAAGGCAACTTGTCAGGAGAAGGAGACTTGGCCAGTGTAAATTATAACACTATACTGACAATAAATGATTCCACTGCGTCTGGCTGTGTTCTAGTTCAAACATTTTCCCTGAGGTTGCACTCGCAGCTATTAGTTAAGAGCAGGGTGATGTGTTCAAGAGCACGTGGTGTGTGTATCACACGTCTGTGCAGGCGTTATGCATCTGACACATTACCTTACTGGCCATGCAAATATTCTGATCCGTCTTTCAGCGAGTGAGAAAATGTGCAGCCATGTGATGTTGCTTGTTTGTTCTTGATGTCAGAAAAATGGCAAGGATCAATGGATTTTCCATGCAAGAGCGAAACATGACAGACATAACGAAAGCCTTTCATAAGAAATGAATGAATAATTCATCTGCGCGCCCGGCTGCGCTTTGTTGTGTCTCATACAGATGGGATTACAGAAGGCTAGATCTTGGAAACATATGAAAGATTAATTTGTGAACTGGGATTGTGCATGGGTACAAAAGGACTAAATAATGATTTTAGCGAGAGTGACAGGGATCTGGGGATGGCTGTGACGTGCACACAGGGCTGGGCACAAAGAACCAACAGAGCGCAGGCCGAGTGTTACGCAACCTGACGGACATTTAAATCGTTCTGCTTGACGTGAACTTCACTCTTCATTCATTAGTGTCATTATAATGACTCCTGACTCCTGCCCTAGCACACTCCTGTACTTCCCTTCTCCTTCTGCATTCATCTCTACCCTTGTTAAAAAATCCCACTTTACTAAACAGCAGTCCTTGGTAATAGCTCCTCTGTGTAGCTTGATTGCTAATCCCCCTCTTGTTAGTCACTTTGGATAAAGCCGTCTGCTAAATGCATAAATGTAAAATGATGTGTGCTGCGGTGCAGTGGTGTAATTGATCGCTGTAAAGTCAAGTCAACTGGCTTCATCCAATTACACACAGGCAGGTCAGTCAAATGGCAGCTTTTTCCACAGCTGACTGTTGTGATGCAGATCTCTTCCTTCTCCTTTTTACCTCCTTTTAAAAAATATCTTATCCAGCTAAATAACCATCTCCAAATTACCAGACTAAGAATTTGACAACCGTGCCGCTCCTGTCGTCAGAATTGCTGATTATTGCGTTTCAGTCTGAAAACTAAGTGGCATTTCTTGAAAAAAGCCCTGAAATAACTCACCAGGGAACACGGGAAGCTGTTGTCTATTCTCCCCCAGATGGCAGCGACTCGAGGGTGGCACCGCTTGTTGTTTTTGATGAGCTGTGCGTATACAACAGCAAAACATCTGGAGCCACCATGTGGCCTCTCCATTTGGCCAACCTGAAACCTCCCCGAACCAGATGCGCCCAAACAACTGTGAGCTAAACAGCATGAATGATTCATAAAGGAGTGAGAGGCACAGCTCACACCAGAGACCTGCCAGCCACTTTGATTGGAAATCTGAAAAAGCTATGAATATGCACGAGACATTAAGCCAGCTTGGGGGATGATTTGCCAAATGATCTGTATTTGACCAATATGGAGAAAGCTCCTGTGGTTTCCATGATTGGACTAATAAAGAGTTTAATAGCCATTAAGTCTAATCATTAAATTATTAAGATGAGTAAATTGTGAGCAAAGTGCTGCAGCGATGTGACTGGACGCCTTCCCACGTAAAAGACGAGAGGAGGCGACGGCTGAGCCGTTCACACCTGCTCCACGCCTCCGATCAAGCTCCGTTAAATGCTTAATTTGGAGACGCTCAGCATCTGACGTCGCAGCATTTCTATAGGAATCAGTGTGGAAATCAATTCGGAAATACACCATCATTTAGCACTGCTGCTAAATATATCAGCCACCATTTAGAATGTTTGAAAAAAATGAACACGATCAATGTGTGTTTCCACACATATAGCAGAAAATAGTTCACTTGAATGCCTACCTGCTCTGAGGTCATGGAATAGCATTGGAGGTGGAAGAAAATATTTTTTTTGTTTTTAAATAAAAAATACATAAAAATCAGGACAATTCCTATGAATTTTATGTCTTTTTTATTTAAATAAATACCATCGACTATCCTTATTTTGTTTATGGATTTGCCAATACCAGTTT